TTTCTTTTACGTAACCGATCACGTTCTCTCTCTTTAGCGCGATAAGCCGGGTCTTCACGTCGACGTCTATGTTGTAAGGTATTTTGAAATTTTTGCAGCTCATATTGTTCTGGTGTGAGCATCTTACGACGATCACGTTGTCTTTCACGCTTTACAATTTTATAAAGTCCGTTTTCACAAGTTATCTTAATCGACAGTTTTCTCCTCTTTCTCGACGACTGTACTTGTGTTTCTTGAGAAATTTTTAAGTTTACAGTTCTTGCAGAGTTTTTAGAAATTTCTCCTTTTGTATTGGTAGCTCTTAGTAAATATTGGCAATGTATTTGAGGAGCCATTGCATAGACGTTTTTAAAATATATTTAGTCTTTAATTTATAAATAAAAACAAGCCTGCAATTAAAATATAAATTTACTAAAAGTAGAAAACAAAATTGCTAGACCGGCTATTTTCCTAAGCCGGAATTTAACGGAATGGAATATATATAATTAAACACACCAGGACTGACTAAATTGAAAATATAAAAAAAAAATTACTTTAAAACAAACAAAAATGTTAGATATTTATAGGATGAATTATTTAAAAACACATCATTCATGGTTGATCACACAATCTCAAAACCCTATTAATTTATTTTAATAAAATTAAATAAAATTTTATCAAAAACTATTGAGATTTATCTTTTGATTTATCTGGCATATGTATGCGCAATAATGAGTAACATTTTTATACCTATCTTTATTAAACTTTATTTGTTAATTTAATAATATTTTTTATCATACTTAATCAAAAAGTAGATTAAACATTTGGGTAAACTGTATTATTTGTTTAATTTGAAAGACCATCATTAACAAAGCAAAGTTTTTCTGCGAGAATACAAACTGAGATTCTGAATCCATGATGATAAAATATCAGATATTTACACTGGAACTTACAATACGTTTACACTATCGCCATTAACTCGAAATATGCGTGTGTGTAAAACGTGCCATTAAATATAGTATTAAACTACCATTGGTTAATTAAACAATACTTTCTGTCATTGAAATAATTAATTCATAATTAGAACAGCTTTTACTTTTGTTAAAGATTTGTGTAAACCACTTTGTTAATAAATTGCTAAAACCTTAAAAACAATATTCATTCTTACAGTTTCAAATTTCGAGAGATATCAAATATGTATAGGCTTTTATCAACATACATACATCAATATGCATTTAAGAAAACGCACTTTCTGCAATGATATGATATTAACTCTACAGTGAGCGTTGATTTATATATACATAAGTATACGTATTAACTGTTTTTACTATCAATGTATATATTAAAATATTCATATATAATATATTAATCTTCTCTAGTTGGGAAAAAATTTATTTACATTGTGATGCTTAATAAAAAAAAGAATGTATAGACACACTATAAACTTGTTTCATATGAGTTTATTTTGAATAATACTTATTAGAATTTTATATTACTTACTAAATGTTTTCATTAGACTTTTTTTTGTCCAATATAAACTCCACAAAACTATTTCACGGCACTATAAAGTATTTTGCTGACGACAACAGCCTTTTTGATTATGTTCTTAGAATGTCATATTATTTCAAAAGTTGTTATCAAATATATGTTTGATATGACAATATAATCTTCGAAATATATATTATTAAAACTATTAACAATTTAGTTTGCAATTTTAACAAAGCCGATGACGCCAGGATAAATCCGAATAACCCAAACAGTAGGTTTTGCACTAAATTTTAAGGTGACCAAATGCAGCGAAATACTGCGATATCTTTATATCGTAGTATATTCTCTAAATCTTAAGAGAAGAATGTATAAGTTAAAATAAAACAAGTCAACACAATTAATTATGAAATAATTATCAATAATTACACCAAATAATGATGTTATAAAATCTATATTATTTGCTCGTATTTGTAATTATGACATAAAACATTTCTAGTTTCAGACACACCCTTCATTTTTCATATATTTTTTCTTTACATTTCTCATTCCAAATTGTCAACAAGTATCACAAGATGGTTAGTAAACAAAAACATCAAACAGCTGATTTTAAGTTGTTGCAGCTAAGATGCAAAAATGAAACAAGTAAATATTTCAATTATATTAATATTTTTCTATGTTACTTTAATTGAAATACATTAGAAGAACATGTATATGTGTAATAAAATAATCAAATAGGATCTCTTTTGTAGTGAAATCAATTGTAGTAAAATCCTAACTGGTCAATAAATAGAATCTGTATATGCATGTGGATGCAATCTCCGTATTAGAATAAATAGGAAACCATTAGAACAAAAATTTTAATATTTAAATACCAGATACCAATAATAGTGCGTAAATTTATTGGTGGTGATTTTCAACTTGTTCAACTAAATTGAGTCAACGCTTCTTTCAACATTGGCTGTATCAAATTTATGAGAATACGTATTCTTCGAGAGTTGGAAATTGGTTTTATTATATATTCATGAAAGAACAATTTGAATAGTTGTTAACAAAAAAGAACTACATAAATTTTTCTGGAAATGGTACGTAACTCCAAATAATTTTACCGATTTTACACACTGAATCTTATTCACACTCCTGCCGTTTTTTTTTTTGTAGCCTGTAAGCATCTATAAAGCAAATAACATGAAAGCAATTACAAAAATGAATTCATGTGTTAGGATGTGCATAGTCATTATAAGTGTGAGAGTGATCCTATATACAATCATAATCCTAAAGTGCTTCGGTTAATAATAGACCTCCGTTTATTATTTTCTTAGAAACACAAAAAACTATATAGGTGAATAACAACTGTTTTGGCCGAATTTATGTTAAGCTAGTAGTTGAATATTTCTTAAAACTCGTATTGATACTTAAACTGGACTTGATACCGTTTTTAGTCTTCAGTATTTTCGCGAGCTACCAAAAAATCAGTATATGCAGAACAAAAACAAAAACTTACAATTTAAGTATTAAACTAAAATTCAGAGGAATGGGATATTGAAATATTTTGTATTGAAACTGACTTTCAATAGACTTCTTTGCTCAAAACAAAATTGCAAAGTTATACAATCTTAAAGTACATCACCAGAATTCTTATTGTCTCTCACTAATCAGCTATAACTTTGCTTATAAAGGAAAGGACAAGGCAAAAGTCTTGCGGACGGAAGGACAAACAGACAAATAAGGTGCTTTATTGAGTTAAGGAAAACATTTCCGAAACTTATGACCCAATTAATATTGTATAAGATTTACTTGAAAATGTATATTAACAATTACAATACAAAATTCAACTTTGTTATATTTGATATACGAGTTTGCCATTGATATTATATTTTAGAATCTCACTAAACGCTGTCCTGCCCAAAGTCTTCACATGTATTAACGATTAATTCTCAATGGAATCAAATGAAGATGAATTTTTAGAAAATCATGCAAACCAATTATAAATATTACAACACACTGCTACTTAAATAATAAATTAGTTGTTTAATCATTCTTTTAGTTTTAAATTTGCTTTTTTCAAATTTCTATTGAATTTTTAACTTTAATACATATTCCATTCACTTGATTGTAACAACAAAATTGTTGAAAATGTAAATATTAAATTTTGTTTTATTTGAAATACTTTTACTAACATACCCGAAAGCTTTACTTGTCTTGGAAGATTTTCTATTAGTTATTTAAAGAAAATAACATATTTTACAATCCAAATTTCCATTCAATCAAAATTTTTGCAATTCCTCGACAACAGAACAACTCAATATTTTTTGACGTTTAACGAGCAAAATTGAATGCCGCTTCAAAGTAAAAAATGTTGAAGCGAAAAGATAAAATCACTTGTGGCGAAAACAAGGTGAAACGCAATTTATGAAATTATTTTATTTAAATCTTTATTTCTGCAACACAATCTCTTAGATGGTATTTACGACTCAGGATATATATTAAAAGTATGTAATTCTACTTTATATATAAATTAACCTCTTTTTATACAATGTACCCATATAATATCTTCCAATGTACCCATATGAAATCTACTGTGTTCACGTTTCAAGCTTCAAAACTGTTTCAAACCTACACGCTTCAATACTATTATAACTTATATATGTTATTAGGTGTTTTCGGTCTAATTTGCTTGCATTGTGTGCACATATGCAAGATTTGTTATTTGCCAATATATAACACTTGACAGATTGCAGCAATGATACCATTGTGTCACCTAGCGAATATAGGCCAGTATGCGTTTTATGCCACACTTGCAAACCACCAAAAACGCCTATTATTAACACCATCAATTCTAATTAAGCTTATTGTGTATATTAGTTATTATTGATTTGTTGAGCGATGTTCTTTTAATTCGCAATTGCCATTAACATAACATAACCTTCGTTCATTAAAAAATTTTTAACAACATTGCTTTTATTCGAAGCTATAATAAAACAGTATTTTGGAATTTTATTTATTCCAAATCAAAAATATTAGTGGAATACATGGATTTAATGCTTGTAGCTAATATTTAAAAAAATTTTTGACATATTTAAAAATAAAAAATCAAATTAAGAAAACATAAATCATTAAAATAAAAGTATTCAAATTTGAACATGATATGATAGTGAGTGATTAGAATGCTTTCCGTCTTCTAAAAACAGAATACCTTATGGTTAACCGTAATTATAAAATCCAATATAAAAATAAATTTAGAATATATGTTTATAAATATGATTAATTTTATTATTGTTGTATGTGTTTATTTGTGTTTTTTTATTTTATTGCTTTAAAAATAATAATTATATTATTAATTAATATTATTAATTATTAATTAATTTTAATTGAAAAATATATACAAAATTATGTATAAAGAGATAAAACACAACTTTTACCAACGGAAAGCAGTAATAACGATTATAAAAATACTAGCGATTATTACTTTCCATACATTTAAAAAGATTATCGATAAATTTTTGCAAAAAGTAGTTCTACAGAATTTACGACACGGAAAGCGGTTGTCAAATTCTACAATTTCGAGGTTTTTATTTTACATTATTTGAAGTGAACAACAATTATTTAAATAAGTTGTATATAACAGATAATTCTTAATAATTGTCATCATAGTTGTTGTCTGGAAAACAACTGTGTATGTTGCTATGTCCATATAAGGAATAAATTTCATACAAAACTAATTCAACAAAGTTAACTTCAGTAAAATGACTGAAAAAAATACTCCTGAAGTTATTTTACCTCCTTTTAGGGGTGATAAATTGCTATCGCCTGCTGGAGTACCAAAATTATTAAGCACCGGTTCAGCAACTGGTAACCCACGTAATAAATGCGCACTGCAACCTGGCCATTCGTTAATGGACTGGATTCGTCTAGGTAATTCTGGGGTCGATTTATCTGGCACTTGCGGACGTATTGTGCCAGTAAGTAAAGAAGAATTAGCAAGACATAATAAACGTGATGATGCGTGGATGGCTATACGGGGTAAAGTATATAATGTTACTCGTTATATGGATTTTCATCCAGGAGGTATTATCATATATATATGTGTAATAAACGTATAATATTTAATAAACATATTACAATAAATTATAGGAGTCGATGAATTAATGAGAGGTGTAGGCCGGGATGCTACGAAGTTATTCGATGAGGTACATGCCTGGGTAAACTACCAACAATTACTTAATAAATGTCTAATAGGTCCTTTAAAAATTATTGTTAAACCAGATGCTGAAATTTTTAAATCCATTAAAACTGAAACGAATAAAGTAACAATACCTAATGCAAATATCGCTAACATCGAAATAATACCACGAATCGATTGGATACAAAAACAATCAGATATAACGTTTTATATATATACTCGTCAATTTTGCAATCCTGGCTTAGTGCTAAAATACATAAACGAAAAGGAATTTCGGTTGCTTGTACAAATAGAACATACCAAACATTGTATCGAATTGCAATTGCAATCTGAAGTAAGATGGCCACCAAAAGCATGTAAGTTATCTAGTGAAACGGGAAAAATTGAAATATGCTTCGAAAAGGTTCAAGAAATGAAGTTGTGGAATAGCTATGGAGCACATACGCTAATAAAAGTATTACCAACTGATGATGCCGAAGAATACAATGTGTTCAAATTTGAAATTAAAACTAACACTGATTTTAATCACGATTCTTTTGAAATGATATTGAGGGGTAGCCAAGATGACACATTATTTTTATTACCACTTGGATATCATGTCAATATCTCAACTGACATAAATGGTAAGCTTTTATTTAATTATATAATTTTATAGTTAATAACACATTTCGATTTAGGTGAACCAGTGGAACGGAGTTACACACCAATACCACAAAATTTCCTATCTAAAACTTTAAATACAAACAAGAGTTCCTTAAATGAAATGAATTTAAATTTTCTAATAAAAAATTACAAGGCCAATGGACTTCTATCCGAACACATGCAACAGTTAAATGTAGGTTCACATCTGCTTCTGTCAGTGCCAAGGGGAAACTTCAAACTACAACATTTGCTTCGACATAAGCGTTTCACTTTCCTCGCAGCTGGCAGTGGTTTAACTCCCTTTTTAAGTATCATACAACATCTTCTAAAGCGATTTGAAAACAAAATGTAAGTAAATCAAATGTGTTTTTTTATATAAAAATTTTTAAACGTAATACTTTATGTGATTTTTAAAGACAATTATGATGCAATAACTGTTTACTGTTTAAACAGTAAACAGTACTCTTTGCAATACTTTATTATTAAACATTATATATCTTACTATCAAATGTATATTGTTCAATATAATTAGTTGAGTTTAATAATATAAACACGTTATTATTTATATTATATACACAACAATTCCATTATAAATCCCCAACACTCTTCTTTGTTATTAGACATCATTTGGAAATTTAAGTTTTTGTTTTATATTTATATTATGTTAAATCTGAGATGTTTAAATAAACGATTAAGTTCATACTATTAATAATCTTTATATATAAATTATTAAAGAGTTCCAAACAATACTCTATAATACTTTGAACTGTTTCGATAACTAAACAATATAACACCTCCAATACTTGACACACCCACATAGGTGATAAGGTGATAATCTCTTCTCTTCGTTTATAGGTTTTAGAATATTATATAGATGTGGTAAAAGTTGGTTAACGGCAAAATTTATGTGTCCTGTATAGCTAAATGTAAATAATTGTGAGTTCCCTAAAGGGAATCTAAATAAAAAATATGAATTACAAACAAAAACATACTTATTTATTAATAAAATCTCATTTACAGTGAATATCTACGGCTTATCTATTTCAATAAAACTGAGGCTGACATTTGGTGTCGTAATGCTCTTACAGACTTACAGGTGCAGGATGAAAGGTATATTCTTTTGTCATTATTGCAGTTAATTAAATCCATTTGTGGTACAAATATTTTCTTTTAACAGATTTCATCTGACGAATATCTTATCACAAGCAGATGAAAAATGGCAGGGACCCCATGGAAGAATTTCGAAAGATTTGTTTACTACAATTTTGGACAGAAATTCAGCAGAATATTCCACTTACTTGGCTATATGTGGTCCAAATCCATATAATCAGCTTGCAGAAGATATTTTAAAAGAGTTACAGTTTGATAAGGAAAATTTGCACATATTTCGTGGATAAAAATAGAGTAGTAAAATTGCACGTTCACGTGAAGAATTTTTGTTACTAAATTAAATGAATTCAAGCTGCTTTGAATTGACAGAAAGGTTCAAAAAAATGTATTCTTATCCATATTGTTTCTGTACATATTTTTTACTCTTAAGTTTAAATTATAATTTTAAATATTTTTGGTTTAAAATTAAAATGTAAATAAAATGTATTTGTATGTTTATTACAGAAAATATAAAATATACTTCAGCTTCATTACATAATTTTTATTTCAATTTTCGATATTGCAGATTTTTAACAAAATTATAGAATATTTCACTGATTACAATTTCCTGGAGTTGAATTTTAATTTTGGAATTTAAACTTGAGCATATTTTTTAAATATAAAATAAAAATATATGGTGAGGTATAGCAGAGCACATTAAATTTTTACAATTGAAAAGATTTAAATCTAAAATAAATATTAAGTAGTTTAGTTACAAAAGGTAGACTTCATATCCTGGATAAAAATCTGTAGTTAAAAAATATTTATAACAATTTCGGTTGTTTTGATAATGGACACTTGGATCAAGCATCTATATCGTTGTGAAATCTGTTTAAAAAGTATATAGGCCCATTTATACAAAATAGTGCAAGAAACTTCTTTACTACAATAGCCATTGTTTTAATAGGAGCGTATAGCTGGTGGTACTGTTGTTACAGTTTCATCCAAGGTTTTATCGATAACATTTCTGAATTTAATATCAACATTGCCTTCTGTACCACAAACCCATGTAAGTGTGTGTTTACGCCAATGTTGTTCGAATGGTTTCTTTTGTTGACCATCCACTGGTTTGCTATAATCCTGTTATAAAAAAATAAATAAATATGTGAGAATATTAATATGTGTCTACAGTATATCTATTAGTAACTAACATATTCATCAATACGTGTCTTGAAGTCTTCTCGGGCATGTGCTCCGCGTGATTCCTTGCGATTTTCAGCTGCAACTATTGTCATTTTCGCATTTGCCAACAAGTTTTGTAATTCCAAAGTTTCTACTAAATCAGAATTCCAAATAAGAGATCTAAAAATAAAAAAGTGTGTGGGTGCGTTTAAAAATACTCATATACGTATCATAAATAAAAAACATACTTGTCAATAACTTTGACATCTTGGAACTCTTTATATATTCCTTCCATTTTCTTGCAACCTTCTTGTAGAACTGGGCCATCACGGAATACAGCAGCATGACCCTGCATAGTTCTCTGCATTTTCAAACGCAAATCAGCTGTGGTTACTTTACCATTTGCATGACGTAATCTGTCCAAATTGTCTACTGACATTTCACCAGCATTCTATATTATAAAGATTAAGTTATTAAAATTGGTTTTGTTTTGAATTTATTAGATCAACATACATCCTTTAGTGAGGGTGGTGTTGCACCAGGTTTGTTTTCTTCAGCAATTGTTTTAGCACAAGCACGTCCAAACACAACTAAATCAAGTAATGAATTAGCACCTAAACGATTAGCTCCATGTACAGAAGAACAAGCAGCTTCTCCTGCGGCGTATAAACCTGGCACAATGACATCATTACCTTTCTCATCAATAGTTAATACCTGTCCTTTGTAATTCGTTGGAATACCACCCATATTATAATGCACAGTTGGTAATACTGGTATGGGTTCGCGAGTCACATCCACGCCAGCAAATATCATAGCAGTCTCCGAGATACCAGGTAAACGTTGGGCCAATTGCTCTGGTGGTAAGTGATGTAATTGCAGGTAAACATGATCTTTTTCAGGGCCCACACCGCGTCCCTCCATAATTTCAATAGTCATAGATCGTGATACTACATCACGTGATGCGAGATCTTTGGCTACAGGCGCATAACGTTCCATGAAACGTTCACCATTGGCGTTAACAAGATAACCACCTTCACCACGACAGCCTTCGGTAATAAGGCAGCCAGCACCATAAATACCAGTCGGATGGAACTGTACGAACTCCAAATCTTGTGAAGGTAAGCCTTGACGCGCAACCATTGCAGTACCATCGCCAGTGCAAGTGTGTGCAGATGTGCAGGAAAAGAATGTTCGGCCATAACCGCCAGTAGCCATCACTGTGTTACGGGCACGGAAACGATGCAAACTACCATCTTCTAAATCTAGTGCTATAACACCTCGACATTCGCCATCTTCCATTAACAAGTCCAAAGCAAAATATTCAACAAAATAATTACAATCATAACTCAATGATTGACCATATAATGTATGCAGCAGTGAGTGACCTGTTCTGTAAAAAGTCAAAACACCTTTGAAAGAATTACACGCATTCGCTTAAGTCAGAAATACACACCTATCAGCGACAGCGCAACATCTATGTGCTTGGCCACCTTTGCCAAATTTCAAACTTTGTCCACCAAAGGCGCGTTGGTAGATTTTGCCTTCAGGTGTACGTGAGAATGGCATACCATAGTTTTCCAGTTCAATTACAGCTTTTGGTGCTTCTCGAGTCATATAATGTATGGCATCCTGATCACCCAACCAATCTGAGCCTTTTACCGTATCATACATATGCCATTTCCAGTCGTCCTCTTCCATATTTCCTAATGCAGCATTAATGCCGCCTTGTGCAGCTATTGTGTGTGATCGGGTGGGAAATAGTTTTGTGATGACAGCAGTTTTAAAACCTTCAGCCACTAGACCGAAAGCAGCACGTAAACCAGCACCTCCAGCTCCAACCACAACAGCATCGTAAGAATGGTCAACAATTGGATATTCTTTTGAGATTGCATTGGATTTCGTAGTGGCATTTCTTTTATCCTGTGTGATATGCAAGTCACGTTGTGGTACTAATGAAGCAGAACGAACCTAAATAATAGAAATTTAAATATTATTTTTACATAATTTCGTTTAAAATGTTAATTGTTTTAGTCACGTAAAAACAATTTTATATTAAAATATAAATTGTAGATAATAAAACTCATACTTGCGTAAGTCAAATATGTAGTCGCATGTTTTTAAAGTGTCTATAGTACATATAAAACTATAGAAATTCTATCTTAAGCTGACTCTGCTGAGACTAAATTGCCGATATTTCACTTTAGATGAAGTTTTATATAATTTTTTTTTTAAAAATATTTTAAGTTAAATACTTTATGAAATCAGGAAACTATAAATAAACCTCTCTTTTCGTAAAGTAGATTGATATTCGGAGATTTCATGCTATTTATTTTAAATAAATTTGAATTAAGTTGAAGTTAAAAGTTCGAAGATTTTCTTTTTTTTTATGTTTTTAACATATTTTAACTCGCTTAACATAGTTACATTGGTGTGAATCGTAATTGTGCGTAGAAATAATTATATTTTATTAAATCTCAGTCTGAATCTTCATATTAAAGCAAACTTTCCATTATTAAAATAAAATAAGTGCATTTTCTTCATTTCGACTTTAAAATCTATCAAGTTTGTTTTTATAAATGATGTTTAATGATCTCACACTTGTTCTAAAACATACAAAAAAGTGTATATTCGTGAAACAATTGCAATAATTATAATTCAATTTTCAGACATATTAACAAAAATTTTAAAATATTAAGACATCAACATTTAACACAAGCAATTATATGCATTATGTAAACGGGTGTTAATAACTAAGCTAATAATATTTCTTGCTTTACTAGTTAAAATATGCAAAAAATGCTATTATTGTTTTTTTTTATTATATCAGATAAGTAATTTTTTATATTTAAGCGACAAACAAATATCTTCACGATTATGAATCATTTGCTATCTTTATAGTATAAAGATATAAAGAAAGTATTTAATTGATTTTTCGAAATGTAAATATGTTATTTTTCCAGCAAAACCTTAAATATCTAATATTGTTTATGTATAAAACAATTCTAATAGTATATAAACAGAAGCTTTTATTATAATAAATGCTATTTACTCTAATTGCAATAAATCGTGATAAACGTAATCTCGTTTATAATCGTTGCAAGCGATCGTAATGTTGGATTTATTACAATTGAAACGCAGGGTTGTATTTAAATTCTGATTAAAAACTTTGTATTTAACTTATGTTATATATATTTATTATATAGATTAAAAATAAATAGCCAAATAATTCAAAGACCAATAAATTTTTTTCTGTTTATGATATGTTTTGAATGATGGCGACAAAAATTCATAATTTTGAACAACTTTTAGACAAGCGTAGCATAAACTTCATTCACAGCAGCATTTAATTTATTTTTGTTTAAAATTTGTTTTCATTCCTGGATCTACGTCTCGGAGCCACTCGTTAAGTTCGTCGTCCACTTGCCGTTCGCCACACCCAATCAATATTACATAATGCTGCCAAAACACAATTAACACATATATCAAAAATATGCCAAGCTAATACATCTTTGATAAATCAACAAAGTAATTAAAAAATCAATACTCATCTCTTAATCGGATATTTACATATAGTATATGTATATGATTGCTTTGAAATTTTCTATTAACCCAACTTTATATACATGTGGTAACATTGCTCCTTATTTTTATAGTGTAGTGATTTATCATGTACATACTTCCCTACAAAAAAAATAAATTAGTATGCGTATAATATATTAATTGATATTTCATCAAAATTTATTATACCGACGAAGATGGATCACTGTGCTTTATAGCAAAACTTATGCAATCTATAATATTATTTACTAACGTATTTACGTTGCTTCTACTAACGGTTTGCTAAATAATTTTTCTAATTAAATACTCTTTTAATGTGTTTACACCTTCAATTTTAAAAGTTCGTAATGCGCATTTTTGTAGAGATTTTGTAAAATGAGTTTCATTGGCATACATTTGTCAAGTTAATTGCGATAATGTAAACGTAGGCCGTGTGCGAGTTCGAGTAAATTGTCGGTATGGCAGCGAATGTTGCTATTTACCAGAATTTCGAGTAGGGTAAATTAGATAAAAGTTAGATATTACTATTGTATAAGATGTGTAAGACGTGTGCGAGTTAGGCTAAATTGATGCTAAACCAAATGTGAAGTTATTGGGATTTTTTGCACTGCACACATTTAACCATTTATTAACACGTATCGATGCATCACTACATTATCGGTACAACTTAGAATTTCCCTCATTTAGAATGCAACTTAGCCTAACTCGCACACGTCCTTAATAAATAAGTAAATAAATTTGAAAACTTTTAACGAAAAATAATTAATAAGTGCAATAAATAATTAAATAAATATTTACATAAGTTCAGTGCAAAAAACCTATATGAAATTTCCATTTACTTTACCTCAATTCATCGATCTCTCACCTGGCCGTAGGGTCATTTTAACAATCTACATTGTGATATAATATATTTCGATTGAACATTTCATATTTTCATCTGAACAATCTCTATACTGATTATATATGATTTATGTAAAAATTTGTAGTTATTTGCTATAGAAATAAATGTAGAAACAATTAAGTTGACAATATAAAAATATATCCAAATTCAGCTGTCTTCGTTGCTCTAACCACTAAGAACCATGCTTGTGTTCTGAGTGTGTGTTTGTGTATATATTTTTTATTACCGCCAACGGCGTAGCTGACACGTAATTCAAAGATTGTGAAGCTAAATGGTGAATTTTTTACTTATATTTGAAGTGTATAATTAGGGAGACAGGTTTATATTGGATGCTTCATGGAAGTGGAGTATATTAAACAAATTGCTGATTTAGAAAAAAAATATTAAAAGTTAAATTTGCTGAACATCACAATCAGAGGTAAACGAGTTAATGACCTATTGAATAGAAAAAATGGAAAGGTAACCTAAAGCAAGTAAAAAATAATACGTTTCAAAACAAATGAGTAAAGGCCCATGTATAAAAACGAAAAAAAATTTATAAACTATTTTATATGCAAGGATATGGATCCAATGCATGTGTTCTACGTTTGTTTAAATTTTGCAGATATGCCAGAATAATTCACATCTATATAAAAAAATAAATATTTTTATTAAAAACATTAAAGATAATGCACCAAAAACTGCCATATTCGAAAATATCGAAAAAAACTATTAACAAATAAAATTGAATTACATAACTGTTTGGCCAAATCACCTTCACAAAGCAAGCTTAATGAATAAAAAAAAACATGCGGCAAATACGGCAAACAGCAGGTTTTAAAATTACTCAGGAACAGTTTCAAATGCAGTAGGTTATACCAGGTGTCAGGAATTTATTATGTTTAAAAGATTTTGCACATCCTGCTTTCAACGATTGTATAACCAACTTATAATACCAAAATAAAAACACACATACCATTGCTGTCGCATTTTTGGCCAAAATCGATGGCACTCGCATGAGACTCGCCATTATGCACGTGTTGTAAAAATGATTTATATACTTAATATTATTAATGCGAGATTATTTAAAAAATTTCACGTTCTATAAAATTTTGTATAACATAAAAATAAATATTGTATTTCTAACGTCTCTTCGAATTCTCGGCTGCTCGCACACAACTACTGCACAAAAATATAACTGAGAACATCCAAATGTCAAAATATATGCGGCTGTTATTACACAGGGCGCACTTTATTTCGCATGTTATAAATTCAAAAAAAAACAGTGCTGAAAATCATCAAATAAAAAACACTACACTAGTCGAAATCATTACAGTCCATTATATCACGCGATATGAAAGAATAGACATAAAGTTTATGTGTAGACATAAACAGCATCAGCCAAAATATTCTCAATCAATTTTGATTGATTGAAAATCAAAATATTTTGATTATTGAGAGTGATTTCTATCACTCCAATGCATGTGTTCTACGTTTGTTTAAATTTTGCAGCTGATTTCTATCACTCTCAATTAGGTTATTTATGTCTACACTCGCAAGCATGTTTTACAAATCAATTTGAATAAATTTCGCATGCTTGTATGTGTAGACATAAACAGCCAGATTGATTAAAATATTTTGAGTTCCCATCGATCAGTTACGCATGTTTGCTGTCATATGTAACGTAATAACTTCCAATCTGTTTAATTATTACTATAAAGTTAACTGACATTTTTACTTGCTTCATTGTGCTGCTTCTTGGTGCTGTTAAAGTGCATCCACACCAAAACGAACGCTTGCGAACGAACGAACTTTTACAATATTACCATCATTACATGATCATTTATTTTTTGGGTGCTGTTAGCTGATACTTTTTTATTCTTTTCAGTGGTTTAAGCTAATACCTGTTATTGTAACCCACTGGGACTGCTTGTAAAACCCCTTTGAGGGTGGTGAACAGCATTTGGTCCGGGACGTAGACCCGACCGTTCTTGGAACCTCAAGAAAGTTAGTAAGAAGGTTATTACATCTGGAATATCTTTTACCAAAATTGCGTAAGTAATTTTAAATGCAAGATGCTTGAAAAGAGTTATGAAAGAAAAAGTCAAAAGACTTGTTGCCGGCAAGTCTGCCCAATAAATTTGATCGATGCGAAGGATTAACGATTATACTTGCTATATAGATATTGAAGAAAATAACATTGTATTAATTAACATTGGATTAAGTATAGGAGAGTTGCGGTTGCAAAAGAATAACAACAGGCCAGCGCTAAATTTATTTTAAACTTAAAAGATCTAGTATATCATACTATAAAGTTTAATTATTAAATTAAGCATGGCAATGGTATAATTAAAAAAAGAGCCAGATTATGAGAACCAGTATATGAGTTTTAAAAAAAATATTACGGAAAATGAAAATTTCTTTTTAAGACCTTGTTTACTAAGGATTATAGAAAAATAAATTTGCTGACCACAACCAGCAGTTACTTCAGCAAGTAAAACAACTCAACGAACGGTCGGTAAGAAATATAATTTGAGCAAAAAATGTTATTATATAAACGCTGTAACAATACTTTTTATAGTCTGGTTAATAAATATTAATTCATTCAATTGAATAGATATATTAAATTTAAAGGAGGCTAGATTAGCCTAGTAGGACATGAAAAGCATCCCTGTGAGAAGGCATGACTATTTAAGTGAAAGAGGACATAACTGAAAAGTCTATAAACTTGGCTATTTCCCGAATTTTAAAAGGTCACAACCCTGTTAGCTCAGTAAGTATAATTTCCTAAATCATTTAGAATCTTCTCTAATTTAATAATCGATAATGACATATGTAGTGAAATACAGTTTCTTCCTTTTATTCACAAAGTCACAACCGCGACAAAAGTCGTTAAAAACGTAGATCGTCTTATTGCATGCTTTCCCCAATACATAATGACCTGTCAGCACTGATATTGTAGCGATTTTGTATTTGAACCACCTGACTGTAGCGAATCTTATCCTCATGTACTTTGGTTTCGAGTGAGGTGAAGACCGTTGATATGTATAGTATGAGAAATATGAGAATGTTTTTCAATACATCTATATTTATTTCAAAAGCTGAAATTATTTATGTGAATAAATAACTCAGTAGACTTAACCACATATTTTAGATGATAAGTTAAAGTGAAAATCTATTACTAAAATAATGTTTGGTCTATATGTAAAAAAAATCAAATATAAGAACTAAAAAAAAAGGATTTTAATTTTCTTTTATTTTGTCGAGAAATGGTTTTCAGGCGAAAAAAGTCAGGTTAAAGAGCTGGTTCACCCCTACAGTTATGGTAAGGTATCCTTCTTCAGCAGAACGGAGTTGAGGTTGCTGGTGGGATATTTAACAGGTCACCATAGACTGCGTTATCACCTTAACACAATGGGTCTGTGCGAAGAGTTAGATTGTCGACTCTGTTTAGAAGAAAACGAGACTTCCAGTCACATTCTATGTGACTGCCCAGCCTTGATCTCGGCCAGGAAGAGGTCTTCTGACATTAGAAGGTCCTCAATGGCCGACATTCTGGCCTTCATTCGGAAGGCGGAATATCTTCTGTTTGGTTAGGGCCTGTTGCAGCACAAAAGATCAATCATGGTCGCAGTGCTCCACTCCGTTGGGAGCTAGAACCCCGTTCATTCCTATTCCTATATTTAGCCGAATATACACTATTCATTTAAATTATAACGAGTATAATTCTTTAAAAATACTGATTTGAAAAAAATTTTAAAGTAATTTTTCGATGTTGGGTTGAACGAAGTTCATGCGGAAATATTTGTGTATATTAAATTAAATAATATTATTGTAAATAATTTTAATTATTCTTAAAATTATTGCATTATTTAGATGAAAAATGAAATGTAGATATATTAGAAAGTATTAACTTTAACCGATCTATGTACCTGGCTTTATATCAAGTTCCAGTTTTCGTTACTATTTCATTAGCACTGTTTAGTAATAATTTCCATTGTAGTAATTAAATTTTTATTTCACATATTAAATCTCTCTCATTTATATGTTGCCAATTCGTTTATATTGTTGTAGTAAAAATTTACCAAATGACTCATAAAAACGACGGAACGGATCAGTCATCTGTTTACATATAAAAGCAGTTCATTCGAGACATAATTTCATTTAGATTAAATAATTAAAAAATATAAGAAAATGTTTATTTTATATAAATTACTATGAATATATAATTATTGATAATTGATAAAGTTAGGGCGTTGGTTGGTAACATTTAAAAAGATTCACATGGCCAAAAACTAGATAAATAATAAATATCGAGTACATTAAAAATAAATGGATTCTGCTTTAAATTGTTCCTGTTCTGGAATTGACCCGCGATGAAGTAATTATTACCTAAGCTTAAACATTCTTAAACCATGTTTACTATAGTATTGTTATCTATACCGAAGGCTATGGCTATGTTTACATTATAAGCATTTTTATTTGTCTAGACTTCAGACTCAATAAAAAGAATTGATCAAAAGTTATAAACAGTGTGTAATTTTTACTCTTTTTCCAAGAAATTTTTACCGCGTCAACAAATATAATGTTTTATGTATAATGAAAATCATATGTATTGAAAATATGTTTTCAATGCATAAATATTATTACAGTACACATGCAGTAAATGTTTTTTTTTTTTCCTTTTCAATAGAAGTGAAACTTCTGGTTTTGGTCAGTTCATCTTCAGATAATGCAGAAAAATCTGGAATGGGCATAAGAGAAAATTGACTAGAACACCGCATACAACAAAGAAATATGTAGCTTTATTTTATATTAAAATATTTATTGAGATTTTACCGTAAAAAAAGTACAATGAATACAAAATAGTCTTTTATAAAATTTAAGTTCAAAATGCATTAAAAGTTGTCATTGTAGTTGTGATATTTTGTCAAGAAAAATGATAAATTTTGAAGTTTCATTACGTAATACAAAATATTTGAAATATTATAGGCAATCACATACAGAATGGTCGGTCGTTTAATAATATTTATATATATGTATATAATTAAGTACGTTGTTTATTTTGGTGGCGCTCGCTTGCCACAGCGTGAGGCATATTCTTCTTCCTTTAGATCTGCCAAATGGTTTATAGCCATTTTCCAGGTAACTTCACCGTTCATATATTTTTTATTGTGATCCTCTATTTTTGCCTTGGATCTCGAATACAATTCCCGACGCATTTTGTCTTCTTGGGTGTTTTCGTAAACTTTTTCGTATGTTTTCTAAAATGTATGAAAATATTTATTTTTATTTAGCGTTGCTATATATGTGTATATATAAAATTTTTCGTAATTATTACGTATTTGCATAAACAAAGGCACAAATATTATATGAATTTTAAACAAAGAAAATGTTGTGTACGTGAACTATATATGTACCTTGTACTCCTCCCACTCTTGGTCGGTAACAATCGACATTTTTGTTTTTTGTATTTAGAAAAACTGTATCAAAATAGTTTCAAAAATAACTTTTATTTTTTATTTAACTAAAACAATTCACTTGTTCTTTTCTTTCTGCGTCAGACTATGACACCGTCACCGCTTCTGAATTTGTTTATTTTTTATCTTGTCCGGACTGTTGCTCACGACCGCACCGACACACACAATACAAAAATCTTACTGAATACTAAACTCAACAGCTGATGCGCATTCACATATATACAAATGATGAATAGGTGCCAACCAACAGGGTTGCTATTAAAAGCAACTAATTAAACGGTAAGTGTAGCATTATTGCGTACTTATATACAGGGTATGTTCATAATACATATATTGTATAAAAGCTTAGTTCTGCCGTTTAAAGTTGCTATTTTAGTACTCTTATCTTTACATTCTAGAATAAAATATAGAAATAAATTTATCAAAACGGTTAAATATGATTACACTCACATATATGTAGTAAAATAAACACCAAAGCCGATGCCGATGCGAGTTTACAAGTTGTTAGCTTTGAAAATTTATAAATACGGTTTCAAAGTTGATTTGCAGGCATACATATTTAGTTTTTTAATTTATCTATCATATATTATTATCGCCTTTATAGTTAATTTATTACAATTACAATAAATTTTTATTAAGGATTTAAAAAAAAAACAACTTAAAAATAAGTATAGTGATATTGGGTCATAAACTAAACAAAGAAATTTATTTTGTACGACTCTGTTTATGTATTTCAAGAACTCGATCATGATATAATAGAATACTTAGATTTCAGCTTATCTTACCGATTTTAAGGCAAATTTAACTAAACCCTACTCACTTATGTAGATAAACCTGAAAATAAGTTAATTATAATAGTTCAAACGAAGTTATAACTTTTCCTGTAGGTGTTAACACTTTTGACATTTTATAGATTTTGACACACAAAATATTAAACATAAATTTGATACTTTAATATGTTAAATGCAATTGTGAAGAGGTCTGGTCTTTCGAGTCGTTATTATATTCAAAACCTAACTAAAAATTTAAAAGCACGCAACTTTAAAGCGCCCAGCTTAATAAGAAATTTCGAATCTGTTGTCTCTCTGATGATGAATCGGATGTACTTGCCCTATTAAAGATTCAGGGACTTTTCGGGGAGAAAATAATTTGAAAAATTTATGAGTTCCGAAATTGCGTTATTGGCGACAAATGCTCTAAATATGTTATTAGGCATTTACCAGCAACATTGAAATAAATACTTGCAACTTCACTTATTAAGTACTTGTTAATTGCTAAAGGCATTAGTGTAAACGCACTGCTACTGCTGACTATTACAGTTGATAGAATAAAATAAGTAATTTTATTAAATATTTCATATTCTGTATCAATCACCGAGTATGGTAAAGCGTCTGTAATGGACATACTTAATATCAGGGTAGCTATGTCAACCGGAATTGTTGCTACAAGTGTACTAATCCATTATTTATATATATATAACGTCTATAACAACGGACTAATATATATACGTCTATAACAATGGACTAAAGATAATGTATATAAGAAATAAAACAATATTATCATAAAAATGTCAAATTTTATTGTTGTAAGCTTTTATTTATATTGAGAAAAATATGTTTGCTTAAGATTTTTACATGCTATGGCAGTTATCTATAATTTTTTCTTTGCTTTATAAAATTTGAATGAAATTGTTAGTAGCCAGAATGTTCTAGGTATGTTTGCAATTTGATTGTAGTTTTTAATTTTATGTATGTAATATATTAATATTTATTTAGTGAATTTTAGTGAAAAAAGGTGGGGTGATTGTTTGGTTTTTTGGTGTTCATGTGATGTATTCGAAAGTATAACCTTAAAAATGACAAAACCCAAAAATTTCGGACTTGATTTAGACTTGTCTTATCATTACCAGATATATATTTATGTATGTTTACATATTTAAATATTTGTAATTTGTAATTTATATTATTTGATTTAAAGATATAATTAAACAGATTTTTGATAGATAATTTGTCTCAATGCCCATAACTTAAAAATAAGATATGATTTTTATATCTTAAAGTCATGTCTTTAGTTTAAAAACAAAATATTCGTTGTATGAAATTTATAGTAGATAATATTTAAATTCTTAATCGAATATTTATATATTTTATTAATATTTGTAAATTTCTGCGCATAATTTTAATTTTAATATATCGTATATTGAATTACATGTTTATGATCAAGTGGTATACAACTGCAAAGGAAACACTTTTGACCGTTTTGTTAGATGCACTTTTTTTTAATTATAAAAGTAATAATTTGATGTTTTTATATATTTTTATTAAAGATATTGAAATAATAGAAAACTACTATTTAATATCGTTTATACAAATTTGTGTAAGGATACTGAAATTTTAACAGCAAAAAGTGTTATACGTATAGAACTAGAGCTTCAAATTTTAATGGAGATGTTTGAAATTTTGAGCATTTTAATATTTGAGTACTCTTGCGCGCCAGCATTTTGCACGAATAGAACGAGGCAACTCAAAATCGTTTAATTATCAAATAGTGTTTAAGTATTTGCCGAAACAAAAGAGAATATAAAATAAAACATAGGGGAAATCTTCACGTAATTCGATGATCTGAGAGCTGCTGGTAACTTTTAATCCAAATTTTTGAATTTGAGTATATTCGAGTTGCCTGAGCATAATAATATTCGAGTACTTTTTGGCGCACTAATCTTGACTTAAATGCTCATTATTTTCAAATATTTATTCCAAAAAAAAAACATACCGAAAGTTTAATATGCAACTAAGAATATCTAAAGAAATGTCTATATAATTATATTTATATTGAAAATAAAATTTGATAGATCTTTTAATAAGTCATATTTTCGATCAAGTATATAAATATGTACTGGTGGCACGTGATTTTTATAGAGATTGTTTCAAATACTTCAATTTTGAAGCATTGACTTAACTTTATTTGCTACAACCTCATTCGGTAATCCTGAACATCATGTTTTATATATTTTTTTGTTGGTGATTAAAGCGAAGGATATTATTTTTATAAATTTTATTGCTTTTTATTTAATATCTTAATTAAATTTCTTTTTATAAATTGATAAGAAAAACCAAGTCTGTTTTAATTTTTTATATGGCAATTATGTATTAAAGCGCAACTTATTAAAGTAATCTAAAATAAATTCAAATGGATTTTATTTTGAATTTTGTCATTTCATAAAAAAAATTACTAAAGACTAATATTAAAAACATTTTTGTATCAATTTTTTTTTTGTTGTCATAACTATATTATTGCATATATTATAAGATATATTATTATCCAATATTGATGTGATTTCTTATATATATGTGCAATTTCATTCATATGTTTATTTTAAATATTTTAACATATTTCATATTTTTTTTTGTAATGTATCAAAAAATGGTTACAGTTTTTAAGATAAGGTAAATTCTGAAAAATCTAATTTTCTTCATCAATAATTTCATACATTACTTATTCTATTATTTTTTGTTTTTTGTATATTATATAAATAAATTTATATAATAATTTCACAGAAACATAAATGAATGTACATAAAACTTATTTGATCTTTTAACTATGTATTATTTTTTTTATTGCTGAGTATATAAGTAGCTTATATGTATGTAGGGTGTTTGATTTAGCGGTATGTTTTATTTTACATCAGCTGCTGTTTAGTTTGTTCCTCTTTATAGAAGAACAACAAATTTTACTACTCACATTTTTTTGTTCTTTCAAATTGTATAAAATGTTAAACAATTATATATATGTATGTATATATTTATTTATTTATTTAAAAAAATATATCATAAATTATATAAATATACTTGCAACTTTCCACTAAACACAATCTCAATGGCAGTTTGTCATATAATTAATTTAAACCAGTTTGTTTAAGAAGATGCACAATAAATAGCTTCAAAACTAAATTGATTATATATAATTTACTATAAAATATATTTAAAAAGAAAAAAAATCAGAAATAAAACTATGCTGTTATACAGCAAGAATTTTTCAAATTAAGAAATTATACTTCTATATTCATAATTCTTTTAGTCGTTATTAAAAATGAAATTTCGTAATTGTGCACCTCACCTCGCTGACGAAGACAAAAAGTTAGCAACCATACTTGACTGCTGAGATACATTCTACTCTTATGTAACTATTATATTTCCATTATTTCTATTTAATCATTTTTTATATTGACAAAAATATAGCTTAATTTGTTGCGATTTCTTCTATTTCTCTTGACATATACGAGTATATATCATATATATATAAATTTTTCTCTTACATATTGTGTATATAATGTATAAATAATTATGTTTTGACGATAGCACATAAATGACAAAAATAAATTAAAATTAAATTAAACGGCATATTACAAAATTGAATTACATTTGAGTTTTGCTTAAAATGTTAAGAAAATATTACAAATTTTTTATGATTTAGTTTTTTTTCTATATAAAATATGTTGCTTAATATCAGATTATTTGCATTTATTTCCGTTTCCGTTTCTGTTGCATTTTCGTTTTTCGCCGCATCTTCGACTTTTTAATGTACGTCGTTTTCTTTCCCTCTTTTGCTTTGTTTTAACTTAAAAAACAAACTTGTTTGCACTTTTTTCTTTTAACTATATCTAATTTTTATAATTGTTTTAAAATTTTTTAATAATATTTATTAAATAATCGTTTTTAGAAATTAAATTTAAGCTGCTTTATGTAATCTGCCATATATTTTTTTCTGTTGTTGTTGCTGCACTTAATTTTATTATTTATCTTTTCGTATAAATATTGTTGAATCTAACTTTTTTCATCAACTTCGTGTGGTTCTCCTTTTTGCATTTTTTTTCATTTTAGTCGTCATCTATTTTTATAAATTAGCATTTAATTTAGGCTTCGGCCTTCTTTTTCTCCTTCTTCTTCTTTAAGAACGATGGTGTTCGGAGACCTTTCTTTTTCTTCTTGTCTTTCTTGGGAGACCCCTCCGTTGAAATATCCTGGAACCGTAATAGAAATTTGCAGTGAGAATATCGTTTGTATTTGGTTAGTAAAACACAAAACTTGAATGTAAAGTGAAATGAAAATTTGATGAATGTAAGATATTAGTATTAAATAGTTATGAAACAAAATAGATGTGAAATTTATTAAGTACGATACTCTGCGTCCGTTCTGAATCTGGAACAATATATATTATGTAAAATAAACGTTTATCTGTTAACTAACTTAATTGTGTAATTAAGTTAATTAACTAACTTGCTAGTATATTTTACTTTTTATTTTAAACTCCAAAAATAATTATTATTCTTGCCTTGAAAACGAAAAACTCAAAAATAATAGCTATTATATTAATTAAAACATAAGTTGCTAGCCTGAGTCCTATTTTTAAGCGAAGCAAAATAAAACGCTTTGTCTGTTTGGTGATTGTTGCTATGAATTCACAAACAAAAAGTCTGTGAATTCAAATTCAAAATTTCGCTGTCTTAAATCAAATGCAATATATTTTCCGTCAAAAAGATAATTCAATGTTACAGTGGGTTACCCATATGATCAGAGACACTAGTGTTTAAAAGAGTTTTAGGCACTAACTCGCATTTCATGAAACAAAGAAGAATTTTATAAGCATTATAACATAATTATCCAAACTTAACCGAAATAAAATTGGCTGCTTGTAATAGTTATTAAGGAATTTATAAGACGAAAACGAGTGTCATCATGTTAAGATTAAGATATAATGCCACTGCACTAACAATGCAGGGAGAACGTAAATAAATAACGTCAGTAGCCAGCCACGTTTTACAAATTATAAATTCTCTGTAAAATCCTTACACATAATATTATACTACGAATCTATGCCGTATCGATCAAAAGCCAAAACTATAGAGCTACTTATGCTGAACAGTAGTGGCATCTTACTTGTCACAGGGTATCTCACTAGGCATTGCGGAGTTAAAAAATATCTATCAAACCTAAGTATTACTAGAGATGATGGCTGCAGACATTTTAGCGAAGAAGAGGAAATAGCAGAACATATTTTGTGTCACTGTGATAGTCTCTCGCCAGATTCAGACTTCGATACTTATCCACTGCGTATTCACTTATAACGGAATTATGTAACATCTCTCCAAAGGACATAATGGCGTTCTTAACTGCTACTCGTCTATAGAACTAAAGTCAGTATGTAACAATAATCCCAACCCGTTTTAAAATCTAATCTAATCTAATACCACAAAAGTACAAAAAATATATTAAACCTTTTGAATTGGAAAACAAGTCTAATAGAAAGCTGTTCCATTTGTCAAACTATTGTGTTAATTAGATAATAACACATAAATAATTAACTATTTTCGTAAATATCCATATGCGGAAGGCGTTTATCAATATTTATTGAATAAATTCCAATCACCATTTTCAATGAATAGTAACAGAAGTTGGTAGAGATGAAGGTGTAACTATGAAATACAAATTTAAAACTTACCTCTTTGCTGCTTTGTGAAAATGTGCTCAGGTGAGCCTCTGAGTGATCGCCATTCTGTACATTCTCACCTGTAATAATGTATCAAAAAAACGTATTAATATATTGATATCAAATATTTAGAATCGTTATTCACACATATTTGATTAGAACATAAAATAAACACATATTTGATGAAAATCACAATCACGAAAACGAAAACGAAATTCGAAGTAAAATGAAACGAAATTAAATTGAAATGAATGAAATAAAAATTAAGATTGAAAAATTTGTGAATATTTGAAACTTTTGTTCAGTTATTTATTGTATGTGATATTTCCCTTGTTAGTCACGAAAACATATATATAAGCAATGTACATTTTTTTCATAGATATAATATATTGTATATGATAGTATATTAAGAAGAAAAAAAACCGTTTCCGAAACCGTTAAACATGCTGCTAATTTGAGTTTTGTTAAAAGGTTGGTTATTAGCTATATATTTTATTAATACAAATATAATTATAAGAAGTATAAGTACTATTTTTTTTATCTGTATGTACATACAAAAATATTTATTGTGACCAAATATCTTCTACTAATAATAACAAGATTAAGATCTTAAGATATCTACTTTTACCAAAAAAAATACGTTGAAAAAATATCTTCTACGTTTCTAACTATTTTAAAATTAAAAAATATTAATCATGCAATAAAAACAACATATATACTTACGTTTTCCTGGCTTTCAAAATTTTTGTTATTAAAAGTTAATTACTTTTAATTATTTCAACATTCCAAAATGTGCAGTTTTTGTGCAATTTCAAGTCAGTCCTCTTAACATTAAATGCGCATTTATTTCAGATATATTTATATACATTCTTATATCAACTACTTAAATTTTATTAGTTTGGATATAATATATCATAAATTTTTTATTTAAAAGTAATTTACATTATTGTCACTAATTAAATAGTGACAATTAATTAAATTGTTAAAAAATGTTCCATAATACAACTTAGTACTATCATATTATATATTGTATACAAATAACTCAGTATAATACATTATACTAAAGCTGTGAGTCTATATCAAATCGTATTTATGTCTCTAATAATTCTAAATAATTAAATTTGAGTTCTATCTGTAATATGATAGATTTGTAGTAAAAAAACTCTTTTAAAGTATACTCCTCCCTCCTATTGAATGGATAGACAGACACTATTTCTAAACCAAAATCTTTATTATTAATTAGAACAAATAAACCTTTTCTGTTGATACAATACCATATTTGAATGAACAAATTTTTGCTGACAAGGAAAAATGTCAAATATATTTTTAAAAAATCTTCTAGAACAATGAAGAGCGGAAGACCTAATATAATTTTTTGACTACGATGTGATATATACTCTTGTGATATAAAATATCACATAAGATATCGCAAAAATTACAAAAACACATCAAAATGATTTTAATATAATAATATATTTATTATAAAATAAAAATAATAAAATTCAATAAAACAAACTTATAGAAAAATCGAAAAAAAAAATTCACCAAAAACAAAACAAAATAAAAATGAAATATAGTAAAACGTCTCAAACGTTGAACCTTAAAAAAAATTTAATCTTAATTCAAAAAAAATAAATAAATTTTACTTTCAATGATAGATGGGAGAGGTTTTCTATAAAATAAATTACTTCAATTGTTTTTATTGTAGAATAATAATTAATAGGGGGAAAAATGTAATACTATTTACAAAACTTAACCTACTTAATATTTGTAGAGACGAACTAATTAAATTCCAATGTTGCTCGCCTTATATCTTTTGACATTTGAGAGATTTTGGTTTTACAGTCACTGATAAAGGCATGATTATGCAGTTCATTTGCTCTTATTATACCATTCAATAGATTTTCCAATTCCCGCTCAAGTAATTGTATTGTATTATTATAACGTCTTAGAGGTCTCACAAATGTAAATGGCAAGGTAACAGTTGTAGCTAACGATGGTACAGATGACGATTTCGCCACTTTAGAAGAATTCGCTATATTATTGTAAAGAGCCTGTGTGTGCTCGTATTGGTGGTTCACGTTATTAACGTCATAGGAACTTATACTCGTATTAGCTATATCTATTTCCTCTTCTTCCAATTCTGTAGCTATATGGGAGAGTATGTTATTGGTTTGCTCCTCACTCTGTGTGGCTAGCTTTTCTGATAGCAATGCAATCTCTTCATTGATAATTTTTTTTAATTTGTTTTTAACTTCGTCTTCGTGCCTTTTTATATTTTTAAAACTATTGACGTTTTTTATAGTTACATTTACATGTATTTCTATAGAGTTGATTGTTGTAGCTGTACTATTATCTGCTGCGTCAGAACTACAAATACCACTCACTGTTTCTGAAGTGGAAGTAAACCGCTGAGGACGTCTTTTAAGTGAATTGAATTTTAAACTTGTTACTTCATCGTTGGTGGTTGATTGCAAGCCATTATTAGTGCCTGCTTTTAATGCATCATGATTAAGAGTTTGCTCTGCTTCTGGTCTATGATGCATTAAATCCTGTTCATATGAGCGTGTACGATTAATAGGTAGAAAATTATGTAAAACAAATGAGCGATATAGATTATCCGTACTTTGATGTTGACGTCCACACAAAGGTAAGGCAAATAATGAGGAGTTGTCACAAGAATCATCAAATTGTTCATGTTCATGGTCATTAACATGTTCATTTCCAGAATGGTGATCATTAGATATTGTGGGATAGGAACCAGCAAATGAATACAGCGATGAGAATTGCTCTGATAACATATCCTGTTCACGGTCGAAATCTTGTTCATGTTCATCTGTTGAATTATTACAAAGATTTATAGTAGCAGTTACTGATTTAACCTTTTTAATAACATTACGACGACGTTTTCTTGACTCCAATTTAATCTCCTTGACGGAAATAAAAGAATCACTATTATCTTCTCTTTTCGGAGAAGTTTGCAAGTTTGTCGGGCTCGTAAGACATTTTGCACCTAAATTTGGCAGTATTTCTGTTTCTGTTTCTGTTCTGTTTTCAATTGTTTTAAGGGTAAGTGGTGTAGCAATTGTTTCTGAATATCTATTTTTGACGTTGACCAATTTTTTACCTTCATGTAGATGATGATGAGCTAAACTTTTTGCAGTAGAGTTGATAAACGCAATTATCTTTTGACGTTGCAACTCGACTGCAGTAAGTAAATGTGCAGGATGCATAGTTATGGATGGCAAATAAGTTAATGGATAGTTAAAACCGTAATGTGAAACAGTACGGTAAGGTGGTGAAGTTGGTAAAAGTGGTGGTGAACTTATAGCAGAAACGGAGACTGGTAAAGTTGATCCAATTGATTCAGATAGTACTGAGGATGCTTTTGTATCTAAGTGATTTTGAAAAATACCTTCTGTTGAGTTTGCAATATTCCCATCTTTTGTATTGCCGACAGGATTACTATAATTTGATACAGGATATGTATAATGTGGAAAAATTTCAATTTTGTGTATCATATATATATCTATGGTTGTCTGCATTGATATATTACTCAGTAAAGGTTTTTCATAAAGGAAAGCATACTTTCTAGCATTAAAGCCATGATCATCGTACTTTTTTGAAATATTATATTTTACTAAACCCTGATTCATTGATTTCTTATATGTATAATATTTATAAGCTGGAAATGAAAGAAATGGTTTTTCATTTATGGTTGAGAAATTTATGCAAACAAGGTACTGACACGACATGGAACACTGAGTATGAAGACGAAGATATATTATTTGAAATGATCCTTTAGCCCACACATAAACCATATAACAGGTAGACGTACACAAACTATATGCACATATAAATTACAGTAAATCTCATTAATATGAAATACATTAAATAAGTACATAATAAGTAAAACTAAATTGTTATTAATAAAAAAATATTTAAAGCTAATTCTAATGAAAGTGTTGTTTTTAAATATATAATACCCAAACTCTTTACAAAAAGTTTATTATGGAACATCATTTACGAACTAACTTATGTATTTAATTTTTTATATAAAATTTAATCATTTATTATAAAATAAAAAATATTTTATTGTAAATATATAAAAGCAAGTTTTTTTTACAAAAAAAATTACATTAAATTGTATAGAATTAAGTACTTTCTATTTCTAGTAAAGTGTAAAGTATCAAATACATTTTTTGTTACATATTTTTTTACTTTAATAAATAAAAGTTAATTGATATTTACTTACTACATATTCCGTTCTTTTTATTCTGATTTTAGTATTATGTGTAATGATATTGAAAGCAAAATAATAAATTGTTAATAATGTTAATGAATGATTTATTTATATAAAAAAAGCTTGATATAATATTTTATGGTTACTTGAAAAAGCGTCAAATTAAAAAATTTAGCTAACCATTACCAATTAGTTTGATTAAAATTAATTTTTATTTTATTAATATAAAATATAATTGATTAAAAATATTTAATTATAAAATTATATCAAAATAAATAATCCAAAAATAACTACTATCAGTAATGGATTGTGTCGGCTATAGTTTAGGGCACACTTTCAAAAGTTTCTGTTTGTTATAATAGTAGACCATCCTCTTTCTAAACGAATTTTAAGTAGGGATTATTGTAATCTCTTGATTAATTTTGTTTTTCATCCTCTTCCGATGCTATTGGTGATTTATCAAGTTCAACTCCATACACTTCTGATGTATCTTCATCTAAACTGTTATCAAAACGAATTTTTTTATGTACAACACCGGCTTTAGAAGCAGAAGCTTGTTCGTCACAAGGAACGCGACGTTTATAAGGTGATACTTCATTTATATTAGTGCCATCGTCAACGGCATTGCTTATTGTACTTGCATGCTTCGATGCTATTGTTGGTATACAAGTAAGCGATTCGCATGGTTTTAATTCAAATGGGTCTTGAGCTTTTCTAATTCTTGAAACCTTTTTGTTGCTCAATCTTTGGGGTTTCTTATTTGGGACTGAATTTTTAGCAGGCAAGCTAAACCAAAATTTAGGGGATCCACTGATACTTTCCTTTGACTTAAAAGTAAAAATAGATGGTTGCGGTATGCCTGATGTGCTTACGGATGTAACAGGTACCTCATTTGTATTCGATGTTTTTTTTAAGGTAGTCCCACTGTTATTTGATTTTGATTTTCTAAGACATGATTTTTGTAAATAACGAGGTACGCCAGCATTACGTATATTCTCCATTACAAAATTTCTCTGATTCTTTACACGTTTACTTTCAAACATTTCATGTACAGTTGTTATTGGTTTATTTTTTATTGTTCGTATATTAGGAACGGTCTTATTCATTTTTACTTTAAACGCTCCTGCTATGGGGCTTGATCGTTCTGCTGTAAACGAACGGGAACGTCGATAATTCCTATGTACATATGTGCCTCTATTAGTGGTTACTGTTCTTGGAGTCGATGTTGAGGGGTTTTCATCTAAAGCATTATCTTTTTTATTTGTATAATTTGATAGTGTTATGAAACCCAAATCTTCTTTTGACAAAATCTTACATTTTGATGGAGATGGTGTTGATGAAAGAAAATTTTTTTTAGTGAAATCAATTTCACTAGAGTTTGAGTAATCTTGCAGTTTTGAAGAAGATTTTGAAGATATATCTAGTTGAGTATTCACTAATTCAGCTAATGTAGATGTTGCCCACTTATTACGAATAGAAGAATCGATTTTTTCAAATATTTCACCAGTTTCCTTTAAATTATTTGTTTCTATTTTATTAAGAATTTCCAATTCTAATAAAGAAAACTGAGTTTCTTTATTAAGATCATCACTATTAATGATTTTAGGAACTGACATGTCTTGGCTATCACTTGAATTATTAAATATTAAAGGCTCTTCAATATCTTGATGTTCGATATCACAATCAGTAGGAGTTACGGTAAATTTCAATTGTTGTGCATCTGAATTGATTTTAACATGTTTTCTTAGTTGACTATGAATTATTTCTCTCTCTTCGTCGGTAATACGAGCCCTAGCTGAAAGATTATTCATAATTTCTGAATTAACACTTTCTACATCAATTAAATCTAAATTATTAATATGCATATCAATTTTAGGCAAATCATTGACAGTAGTAGTTGAATAAAGCTCATATTCTCGAAAAAACGATAAGCGACGATCATTATCTTCATCCACATTATATGTGTGATTAGAACATTCACTGTTGTTACTTTGTTCATCACTTTTAGCGCAGTCATTTTCTATAGCATTTTCATTATCTGCTTCCATTTCACATTTATCGATTTTTGTTTTATCTACAAAGTTAACTGTTCCGGTTGAATAAATACTATTTTCAATAATATCACATTCATTAGATGATTTGCTATAACTTCGCATAGGAACTTGATTAACATATGGACAATCAATTTTCATGTCCTTTCCATTAATTTCTTTACCAATATCGATTTCTTGTCCTGAAATGGAATATGCAGTGTGATATGATGAACTCTGATTTTCAGAAACTTGTATTGAATCGATTTCTTTAACATTTTCCATTTCATATAGCTCAGAGGTTTTTTTAGTTAGAACTGTTTCCAATGATGGCAAACCGAGAAGGTCTTGTGATTTTCCAATAGACTTTTCTTCTTTTTTTGATATTTCAAGTTCAGAATCAAATGATTTCTTTTGTAGGTAAAGTTCACTATCAGTGATTAAAGAAGTAGATTTTTCAAATAAATTTTGATTTATAGTTTCAGTTGATGGCGTAAGATGTACATCTACATCAACACTATTAGTTTCTGAGTCATGCATTATACACATTTCATATTCGGTATAGATTTCATTGTTACATCCATTTTTATCATCACAATTTTGACGGTATATAAATTTATTTTCTTCATCAATGTTGCAATCGCGCGTAACATCATCACACATTGGTTTCTCTACTGCAAGGTCTTCATTGTTTCCATTTTCTGACACAAATTCAACGACTGTACTGCTGGTAACATTATCATAAGCTTTATGACTACAATCAATTGACTTACAATTTTTATTTTGCTCATATGCAGATTCAAATTTGGATTTGGATTTTTCAAAAAAATCATCAACGGTTTCTGCACCCGTGTCAATGTTTTCAAATCTATCGGATTTATTACTGTTTCCTCCTTCCATTCTTAGCTCAGACTGATCACTTGTAAATTTATTGGATGAATCAATCATTAAACAATCTGAGTTGTTGATAAATTCAGTATCTATTTTAATTTTTTCCATCGATTGATATTTAACATTTATATCGCCTAAATTGAATTCACAACTGTTTTCTCCATCCATTTTTTGTTTAGATTGATCAGTTGTGAATTTATCGCAAGTCTGAACAATCATGTCCTCTGGGTTGTCAACAAATTCAGAAATTACTTTAGTTTTTTTAATCAATATCGATTCAGAACTATTTTCTCCTTTCATCGCTTTTCGAGATTGATCAGTTGTAGATTTATTGCATGGTTCAATATTTGAATCATCTGAGTTCTTTATAGTTTCAGTAACTATCTTAGTTCTTTCAACATTTTTATCGTCTTCTATTTCTATTTCTATTTCATTATTTTCATCTAATTTGAATTCTGAACTGTTTTCTCCATCCATTCTTTGTTTAGATTGATCAGTTGTGAATTTATCGCAAGTCTGAACAATTATGTCCTCTGGGTTGTCAATAAATTCAGAAATTACTTTAGGATTTTTAATCAATTTCGATTCAGAACTATTTTCTCCTTTCATCCCTTTTCGAGATTGATCAGTTGTAGATTTATTGCATGGTTCAAGATTTGAATCATCTGAGTTGTTTATAGTTTCAGTAACTATTTTAGTTCTTTCAACATTTTTATCGTCTTCTATTTCTATTTCATTATTTTCAACTAATTTGAATTCAGAACTGTTTTCTCCATCCATTCTTTGTTTAGATTGATCAGTTGTGAATTTATCGCAAGTCTGAACAATCATGTCCTCTGGGTTGTCAATAAATTCAGAAATTACTTTAGTTTTTTTAATCAATTTCGATTCAGAACTATTTTTTCCTTTCATCCCTTTTCCAGATTGATCAGTTGTAGATTTATTACATGGTTCAATATTTGAATCATCTGAGTTGTTTATAGTTTCAGTAACTATTTTAGTTCTTTCAACATTTTTATCGTCTTCTATTTCTATTTCATTATTTTCAACTAATTTGAATTCTGAACTGTTTTCTCCATCCATTTTTTGTTTAGATTGATCAGTTGTGAATTTATCGCAAGTCTGAACAATCATGTCCTCTGGGTTGTCAATAAATTCAGAAATTACTTTAGTTTTTTTAATCAATTTCAATTCAGAACTATTTTCTCCTTTCATCCCTTTTCGAGATTGATCAGTTGTAGATTTATTGCATGGTTCAATATTTGAATCATCTGAGTTCTTCATAATATCATTAACTATTTTAGTACTTTCCATTGATTGATATTCAGCATTTTTGTCTCCGTCCATTCCGAGTTCAAAATGATCAGTTGATGATATATCGCAAAACTTAACAATCATATCTTCTGGGTTGTCAATTTTTTCAATATTTTCAACTAATTTGATTTCAGAACTGTTCTCTCCATCCATTCTATGTTTAGATTGATCAGTTGTGAATTTATCGTTAGTCTGAACAATCAATTCATCTGGGCTGTTAATAAATTCAGAAACCATTTCAGTGTTTTCAACCAATTTCAATACAGAACAGTTTTCTCTTTCCATTCTAAGTTTAGAATCATTACTTGTAAATGTAATGCAAGGCTCAGCAATCAAACCATATAGGTTGTCAACAAATTGAGTGACTATTTCAGTTCTTTCTATTGATTGATACTCAACATTATTATCACTTTCCGTTCCGAGTTTCAAATGATTATATGTAGATTTATTACATGACTCAACAATTGAATTTTTTGGGTTGTTTTTAACTCTTTTATCATCTTTCATTACCAATTCAGATGTATTGGTTGTAAATTTATGGCATGACTCAAAGACGAAATCTGCATCGGATTCACATTTTTCATCTTCGATACCTATTCTCGATATCACTTTTTTGACATTATCTTCACATTCACAATTTTTACCCTGTTCAAGTTCAACTCTGCACTCAGATTGATCACCCATCAACTTTTTGCATTTTTCTATAACTAATGCTGGTGTAATAAAGACATTTTTAGTAACATTCTCTGTTTGCTTATTTATATCTTCAATCACATTTTCTTCAGCTAAAGTCAATTTTAGAGGGTTTAGTTCACCGCCATCTTCATTTTCATTATCATTGCAACACTGGAACTGTTCTTTACTAACATTTTGTGAACACTTTTCTGAAACATTATCAATAACTTCGAATATATTTGTATGTTGCGTTTCCTCTTCTTCTGGAATATCAACTGCTAATTGTAACATATCTGTGGGCTCTTCATTTTCAGTCTCAACAAGTCCAGTTTGATTTTTACTACAATCACTATTATTATGTTCTATTGCGAACTGTCGTTCATTTTGACTGATTATTTTTACGGAAGCGTGATCCACACATAAACATTCGGAATCATTTCTCTCAAACTTTTCTGGAAAATAGGGTTCAATATTTACTGATGAATTCTTTAAATGTTTGATGTTATGTTCGTTGTGTTCAATTTCTTCTAAAATTGTTTTATTTTTAATCTCGACTTTTTCTTTATTGAAGTCATTATCACTGGTAGTTACAATGGACGTTTTTGAGTTATTTTCATTACTTTGAAAATGTTTATTACTCATTCTGTCTACCTCAATGAGTGGTTCATCTTGTAACCTTTGCTCAAAATAAGAACACAAACTTTGAGTGCGGTTAGTAGTTTTATTAGTGATATGTGCTTTTTCTGTTTCAATGCGCGATTGATGCTCCGACAATCCGCCTTTGTTTTTTAGAATATTTTCTGTAGTAACAATATCACAATCATTTTCCTTCCACTGGAAAAAGTGAATATGATCTTCCCATAGATCTTGAAATATTAGTTTTCTGTGTATGCGCTCCTCCCTTGTCATTAACATGCGCTTGCCGTCCGAAGGATTGGCAACCTCATTATAATTAGTCTCCATTGAATACTGAGCTTTTTGGTCTTTACTAAAGTCTTTATTTGAAAAAGAACTACGTATTTTGTCATTTCGAAAGGTTTTGTGATCACTGTCGCGTTTACTTAATATGTTTGTATTTGAAACTATAGCATTATTTTTGATGCAATTACCAAATTCCAATATTTCCATTACAGATTCTTTAGATGTAGACTCCATAACCTCATTTTTACTATAATTTTCTGGCGTCATATCAGAAATATTGCTGGAAATTGTACGATTTCTTTTCTTAAAGTTACTGTTAGTAGATTCTTCTGAATAATTAAGTCGCATGATTTTGTCAATAAAACTGGTTTTAGATATTGGATTAACTTGTAAAACCTCTTTTAAATTATTTGATTGGTGATTTGAATTCACCACTTTTTTATCAGATCTATCACTATCAATCTCTTCTACCTCCAAAAGTGGTTCCAATTGCGATGAAAAGCTAGCGAAGTTTTCTGTCACATCAACTGAAGTTGTTGTGATCGAATCATATTCAGGCAAGTAAGAGGAGTTCTCTGTATTTGTTCTGCAATGAGTTGCACTTTCATTACAATTTTTAGAATTGTTAAAGTTTGAACTTTTTAGTGCATCACTAATATTATCCTGTAATATTTTCGCTTGAAAAATATTTTCAAAACAATTCTCGCAAACTTCAATATACCGTGGAGAAGCAAATATTCCTTCAAAACTTGAACTTTTGCCAAGTGGTTTATATTTCATTGGTTCCGATGGTAATGGTATATGCTTATGATCAGGAACTGGATTACGTTGTGCAGGCATAAAACCAGAGTGCGAGAGAGTACGGTATGGGCTAAGAGCACTTGAACTAGATGAACGACGGCTTCGACTTCCACCACTCTGGATATATCTCGGTGTACTCGAGGAACTTGTAGATGTAGTACAAATAGGTATAAAGGGTATATTTAATATTAAATCGTTTTTTTGATTGGGAGTTTTTCGGGTTTTAAAGACTGTTTCACAAACTTTGGGGGTATTGCAAGAAACAGATTTTTTATATAGTTTTTCCTCATCATTATTTATATAATAGTAAACATTACTTGTTTTGTTATCTGCTGTTTCGGAATTTTCATCAGCAACATTATAGACATAATCATAGATTGGTTGCGATGAAGAAAGAGATTCTGATTCTGCTTCAGAGTAATAACTACTTGTGTCATTATTCTGAATGTTAAGTGGTAATCTGAAACGTGATCTACTATTGTGTATATTAAAACTGTGAGAAGTGCCATTACTACTGCCGACTTTTTGTATATTATTATTATTATTATTTCTACTAGTAACAGGTGTTTCGTTGTGTAGAACATTAGATGCTGTTTTACATCTCTGACGTTTGAAAAAATTATTTTTTTTTAATTCCATTATTAATAAACTTTTTTTGAATTGAGTATTTTTGCAATCGTGATATACACGTTCTTTTTCACTATCTTCATATAACTCTAGAATCTCAGCAATTTGAGCAGCTTGGTTATATTTTCCTGAAACGCTAATAAATTCTTGAGAATCTGGGGAAATAATAATAATTACAAAAAAACCAATTAATTGTTAAAAGTGATAAAATAAATTGTTTGTATACAAATTATAAAAAAAAAAAAAAAAGAAAATAAATTTATAAAATTTATAATAAAGTATATAACTTTTAGACTCTAAACTCTATTATTGATTTTAGAAAACATATTTTACAAATTAATGGTATAATTTTGCAAGTTAATTCACTATTCACCCATCGATACATCAAATTCGATGCGTAAATCAAATACACTAAATAATTTATGTAGTGCATTATATAATAATTTTGTAATAATACATTCGCCTTATAAATGAAATAAGTTGTTTTAACTAGACATTAAAGAAACTTCCACAAATTTTCTGTTTTTGACCGCCTCTTTTAAAAATTTGACTATAATTTTTTGGAGCTACCAATTTTAGTAGTCTGAAGTTCTTTCATGATATTGAAGGTAACAATATATGGTATAATGAACTACAATGTGCATAGTTATTGATCGATCTGTACGTGATCTCCCGGCGGGCCTTCTCTTTATAGGAGATTAAGATTTAAGTTTATTATGAGGGTTCAGTTAAAACCTAAAATTGAATTCGCTGATTAGGAAGTTTATTCGTATATTATATGTTAATCAATCTTCTGATCATATAATCCAATTGTTTTGGATAATTATTAACTTTTCATATTTATAATTGAAAAATTACAGTAAAAATATATAAATGAGCGTTAAATTCTTTTCTATTTACAAAATAACTATTAAAAATATATTTGAGATACCTAGAAGTGCTTTCTCAGCACTCAGTCTCAGTCTTATTATCATCATTATGTCATTGTTTTTTTGAACAAAACCTACTGTCGGCAAGTGAAAAATGTTCGTAATATTACAATAACATCTATTTATTTCTAAAAACTATGAATTAAAAATATACACCTAATTATAATTTAAAATTATAAAGTTATATATTACAAATTAAAAAAAAAAGTATAGTAACAATGTTTTAGTGTATGAGATAACTTACCTTAAATATCTTAAATGATTATAATTTAAATGATTGAAAACTTTACATAGTATATTATTAAATAAAACCAAAGTATTATTAAAATGAAAATAAATTAAATCTAATTAAATAAAATAGAGGTACTACTAAATTGATTAAATTTTATTTCTTAAAATAACTATTAATTATATATACTAAATGAAATGTTAAAAAGTAAATTTAATATAATACATATGTGCAATGAATGCAAATGTAAAACATATCCCAGTGCAAATAATATGTAACATTATTTTTAGTTCGGAATTATATTAGTTATAAAATATTTGTCATTAATTTGGGTTTATTTATTTAATATTATTATGGTGCGTATGTACACATGTGCATTTGTTAATTATTAACTTTTTTTTAAAACAGAAATATTTTTTACCTCGGCCAGTCGGTGGCTTTCGATTTGTAGCTGTGTGAGAACGTTCGCCGTTTATAAAACTAAGTGTAGCTAAAATTTGTTTTTAGACCAATTAAAAAGAAACGTTTTATAAATTAAATTTTAAAATATAAAGAAAAAAAAATTTACTTCCTTATTATATGCTATGGTCAAGTCATGCTATTCTTGCAATACATTACATACGCTGTTTTCAACTAATTAAATGTTACTTACATTTGTAGGTACAACTCAAAAAATTTCAACTACATATTTACAAAACGAATCTCAGCTGCAGTATTACTTAATATAAACGTAAAAAACTTACTCGTCGTTATACGAGTATGCCAATTTTTTAGAAAGTATACATTAATATATTTTTCAAAAATTTATATATATATATTTGCATTCAAAAAACAATTTATAAAAATTTATAAAAATTTACTTTTATAATATTCAAATAAAACCATGAATTTTTGAAACGTAAATAGAAAACTCAGTTATTTTTTCAACCAAATATCTGTAACAGCACAGCAGTTGTTGAAGATAGAACTTTGATATTATTATTAAAATGGAACATGCTATGCGATCTATCGCGCTACTTTCAAAAAGAGTCCTCTAAGTAAGCTAACAATATATATTACTTCCAGGTTCAACATCGTGATCGGTTTATTGAGAGTCGAACGTAAGTTCTAGATTTATTTCCTAACAGTTATTTGGGCAGTATTTTTACAAGAATAACTTAAGACTATATAAAGTAACAGATCGATAATAATGTATTCCATGCATACAATATATAAAACTACCTATGTATTGATTGCATTGATATAGTCATATACGAATCGTACAAAATAGTTTGTATTATTCCAAAAAGTAAAAGAACAATCACACCAATACGATGAGTTAGATTCCTGGTGCTTGCAGTCTCAAGAAATTATTTACAAATAATTAAATACAAGAATTATTTCCAAGATCACTGATGATGGGTATTTGGCAATACTCGAAACAGCTGTATGGCCAGCTAAAAATTCAATTAATTAAAAGTAATATAAAATTAATTTTTGTTGTTTTAGTTCACTACTGTTCGAAAAACCTCTTTATGAAATATAGAAGTACAAAACTTAATATTCTAAAAGTTATTCTTCTGCCTATATGTTATGTTAAATGAAAAGGTAGAGCTTTAATGTAAATATGAATTAATGGTAAATAGTTTTATTTTAGCTCTTTTATTATTTCAATTGTATAAAATATATTTTTGGAATATAAAGACAAAAAATATATATAATTTTAAATATACATAAGTATACTTTCTAAATTTTTAATATTTGTTTTGTTTTGTTTTGTTTTTATGTCAGGGTATATTCAGCGAAAATAAAAATCAACTGTTTATTACATATACAAGTAACCTTAAAACTATTCAAAAATGAAACAGATTTAATTATGCCCGTTCTTAATTAATGAAGCAAATTGTGATGAGCAAATAAAAAATTAAATTTGCAGTCCACAATCA